ACAGGATGTTCATTCTTTAAATGAGTGTGGTTTTACTGCCCTCCAGTGTCTCAGAGCGTTAAGAACTTACTGAACCTAAAAATGCCTTCTCACCACTAGCCCTAGATTTTATAGTCATGGAAAACAAAAAATTTCAGAACTGAATTACCATTAGAGATAATTTAGTGAACTTCATCAACCCTTATATAGGTAGGAAACTGGAGGCCAGAGAGGAAAGGCAGGCTCAGCCCACCGCAGTGAGAGACAGCATCGCAAAGATTAATCATCTTGTTCATTTATTTATTGATTCACTTGTAGCAGATGTTCATTTTCTTGTATAATATTGGGAAAAAAATAAATTGTATTTTTTTTGTTCTCTACAGTATATCATTATCTTTCAAGTCCCTGAGGGCAGGAAGTTACTTCTTTGTGACTCCACAGCCAGAGTCCTTAATTCAAACTTTGCCCCTTGATCCCTTTATATCCCTTAGGATCCTTTAGGAGAGAGGAAAGACTGGGTTCTTGTCACTCACAACTTTGTTCCAAGGACTTGACAGAGTTTGGCTCATGTTAGGTGTTAAATCATATTTATTGAATCAACCAACTTATCAGTGAATGGAAGGATAATTTGTTGCAATATTAATTGTGATTTTTTTTGTTCTCATTGCTACGGGTATGCAAGCAATTTGTTGAAAGAGCAGAATTTGACAGGATACAATCATAAAACAACTCTCTCCCAAATCTTGCCCTTTCATACCTGCTTGGTGAGCTAGTTTTTGGTTTTTTTGGTCCCCTTCCCAACACATACACATTGCTTAAACCTAGGTTGGGTCTTATAACTTATGTAGTCACTTTCAGATGTAAAAATGACCTCTGGTCACTTTTAAACACAGTGGTTTAGTTTCCCAGCCACTTGAAGGTGGACTTCTGCACTGTTTTAGTGCTAGTGTTAGACACGAGGAGAGGACAGTGATGAGCTAATCACTTATGCTGTCACACTGACCAAGATAAAAGCATCTGGTAGTGAAATTCTGCTTCTGGAAATATCAGGCTAGCATATTTCAGGCCAACCTTTCCCCCACAGTTAAAAAGGCTGAAAAAATATTTGAAAAATATCTGCTGAAGATGTTAGAAGAGAGAGAGAAAAATGGGCTTGATTTCTTTCATCAATTTTGGAAAATTTTTAGCCATTAACTCTTCAAATGCTGCTTCTGGTCCATTCTTTACCATCTCAGTTTCTGGGACTCAAATTGTATGTATATATGTTTCCTATACTCTCTTCTGTATTTGGCATTTTTTCTCTCTGTGCTTCAGTCTTGATATGTTCTTCTGATCTATGTTCTGGTTTATTAACTCTCTTTAACTATATCAGATCTTTATTTCAGTTATTATATTTTTCAGTTCTTGAATTTCTGTTTTATTCTTTCTGTGTTTTATAGCTTCCTTCTGTAAGTCTCCATCTGATTTTTTAATGCTTTGAGCACATGAATGATGGCCCTATTAAAGTTCCTATCTGACAACTCCAATATCTGGATCTCCCATGAGTTTGTTTCTGTTGTCCAGTTGATTTTATTTGGGGTCATATCTCATGTTCTGTTATGTCTGGTTGATTCTGACTGAGTTGAGGCTTGGCATTTAAACAACTGGAGCAATCATGTGAGGCTCTGGATAACGTTATCCTCCTCCAGAGAGGATTTGCTGTGACTTCTAGCAGGCAGCTAGCCTGAGGGCAAATCATCTTAATGCAGGTGTGGACTGAGCTTCATTCTTTATGGAGTTAGCTTAATCCAGTGTGAAGTCTTTGGGGGCAAAGGGGTCAAGACTGAAATTCTGGGATTATTTACCAAGGCCCCCTCTATTTGGCAAGCCCCACAATCCTGTGAGACAGATAAAATCTCTGCTCAGATTCTCAGCTTGTCACCTACTGCATTCTGCTTATCTTTTCCTTCTTTGTCACAGCTTTCTGATTTCTAAATGTTTCAGGGAGAAAGCCTTTACAAACATTAGACTCACCTCTCTGGGTTTCCTGTCTCTTAGAAATCTTGGATCTCTCAAGGTTCACTTGTTTTTATATCCCAGCAGCTCTGCAAACCCAAAGTAAGAAAGTATACAGAAAACCACACCTAAGTACATCATAATAGTTTCCATTTAAAAAAAAATCAAAAGATCTGGGTACAGTGTCAAAAAAAAAAAGTGTGGACAAAGAGATTGTGATAGAGTCACACTGTGGAATATTATACAGCTGTAGGATGAGCAATTTATAATTATTACAAGAACATTTTTCATCTCTAAGCATAACACTGAGCAAAAGAAGCCAGACACAAAAAGGGCATATATTTTTGAGTCCATAAAGTCATAAAATACAAAAAAAGAAACAAAATCATCATAGATTTATAGTGAATGGAATCAGAACAGAGGTTAACTTTAGGAGGGATAGTAGTAGTTGGATAATGAGAAGTAAAATGTAGTTAAATCTTAAAAAGTTTTCATTAAATAATAATCATAATACTGTCTTGTGAACCTTAAGTATCTGTGCCTGTAAACACTTTCATATATGTATACATATTTATTAAAATATTTTAATTGTGTAAAACATAAAATTATAATACATGCATAATAAATAACAAAAATATCCAATAGGCAAGACAGAGTTAAAATGTTGCAGTTAAACTGGAGATTAAATATTTTAAGGTCTTTGTGTTGTCCAAGGAGTATAAAAAATATATATATATATAATATATATAATATAGTATTTCATATATATATGAAAATACTAACCAATATTTTAATATTTAGGATGATAAATAAAAGGATAGTAAAAAAGGTAAGAGAAAAATAAAACAATAAAAAGGAATTACCCTAAAGAGAAACTAAAACAATAGAGAGAAAAAAGATTGTAGAATAGATGAAATAAATAGAAAACACATAGATATATAGTAGATTAAATCCACATATGCCAGCAATCACCTTAAATATGACCAAACTAAATATGTCAATTAAATGACAAAGATTGTCAGACTAGGTGAAATTTTTTTCAAAAACTATTTGTCACTTACATGAGACACTTTAATACATAAGGATAAAGAAAGATTAAAAGTAAAAATATGAAAAAATATAGACTATGTAAGGAGTATTGCTATGGTCTGAATATTTGTGGCCCTCAAAATTGATCGACTGAAATCCTAACTCAGGAAGGTGATGGTATTTGGAGGTGAGAGCCCTGGGAGGTGATTAGGTCATGAGGGTGGAGCCCTCATAAATGAGATTAGTGCCCTTACAAATGAGGCTCCAGAGAGATCCTTCAGCCCTTGAACCACATGAGGATGCAGTGAGAAGTCTGTGACCTGGAAGAGGGCCTTCCTTCAACCATGCTGACCCTCCAGTCTCAGATTTTAGCCTGCAGAATTGTGAGCGGTAAAATTGCTGCTGTGTTTAAGCCATCCAGTCTGTGGCATTTTGTTACAGAAGCCTGAATGGACTAAGGCAGCTGTGCAAAAGAAAAGCTGTATACCAGTACTGTTATCAGACAAAGGAGATTTTAAGGCAAAAAGGCATTACTGAAGATCAAGAGAGACACATCATAGTGATGAAAGTTTCAATCAGCTAGGAAGATTGTGATGGTTAATTTATGTGACAACTTGACTGAACCACGGTACCCAGATATTTAGCCAAACATTATTCTAGATGTTTCTGGGAAGGTATTTTTCAGATGATAGTAACAAATTAGTAGTTTTGAGTAAAGCACATTACCCCTCTGAATGTGAGTGGGCCTTATCCAATCAGAGGGCGGCCTTATTAGAAGACTGGCCTCCCCAGAAGAAGAGGGGATTTCTGCCGGCAGACAGCCTTTGAACTCAAATCACAGCTCTTCCCTGGGCCTCCAGCCTACCCTGCAGGACTTGCCAGTTTCCACAGTCCTGTGTGTATATCAGAGATGATCTAGTATATATGTATATAAAACTGCCTACTGAGTTTGTACCTTGATCAGGCCCCAGGATATCCTTTTAATAAGTGAGGTCAGTAGTTACTGACATTCCCATTTATAGACACAAACCAGTACTAAATGGTTGCATAACTTGCTCAAGGACACACAGCTACTAGTTATTAGGATCAGATCAGAACTCACATCCTTCTGGCACCAAACTCATTGTCTCTTTCCACTGGTTTGTCTCACTCTTTCAATAATCTTACTTAGTCTGGCCTGTCCCACCATTTCATAGATGGAGATAATGGACTTGCTTTTCAGCCTGATAGACCCACAGCCCAGCACCCCGTGTAGCCCAGTGGTGGCCCTGTCTTTCCACACAGGGGCCCTGCCTGCCGACTCCCTGCCCTTACTCACAGCCCCCTTTGCCTAGTGCACATTGGATACTTTCAGGGCACTATCACTCTCCAAGTGACAGATCTTAATACTCCTAATTGTCACCCATTATATCATTATTACTTTTTCTGTGGAATTAAAATCCGTTTCATGAAAGGGCAAAAAAAGTTCGTCTGCCTATAGCATGTCCCAGACTTCTCTATTGGGAGTAGTTGGTTCTTTAAGATTTCCTGTTCCGACTCCAGAGTGACTTTGCTTATCTTTCCCCCTGGTGGTTTGTGGAAGGATATTGAAGTCACACAGTAACCTCTGTGGTAGGTGTATTCCTTTTCAATGAAAACTGCTAAACAGTGAGTCCTTGAGGGCAAGGGCACTATCTTACTGGCCTCCGTGTGCCTGGCACCATGCCTGACACATCATAGGTAGTCATTAAACACATTCCAAATGGGGAGTGGGTTTCAGTGGTAGAGTGCATGCTTGACATGCACAAAGTCCTGGGTTCAACCTCTGATACCTCCGTGTAAAAAAAAAAAGAATGTAAATACTTACCAAATAAATTAATGGGCCTTCACCATTCCTTTTTTCAAGCACATGTGAATCCTCTGCCTTTGCCTCTATGAGGTGGTCCTCAAGCTTGATAGAATTAGAGTAAAACATACTTAGAAAGATATAAGAAAAAATTTTATGTCCCATTTTACAGGTGAGGAAACTGAGGCAGAAGGCCTAGAGATGCTGAAGCCACAAACAACACAGAAGAATCACAGCAGAGGCAAAGCTAGTGGGAGATGATCAAGTACCCTTCCTCTCTGCATTCTTCTGCCTGGACCCTCCCTGTCTCTTAGGTTGGTTCACCCTTTCTTCTCTGCTGATTTTACCATTGCAGAAATTCCTCTTTGCTTAAGCCAGTGTACAAGTTACTGGCAGCACAGAGTCAGTGAGGTTTAAGCCCTTCTTCATCTACATCACAGCAGGGACCAAAGTCAAGCACCGTGACCTTCTTTCTCATCTAAGCTTCCAAGGCAGCATCTTTGACCCATGAGTCAAAAAAGAGTGGCTAGTGTCACATTTTGTGGCCATTGTTGCTAGACTGTTTGTCTCCCATGGGGTGGCTGGAGACCCCTGGAGAGACAGTGAGCAGTCGCCACAGGGAGAGTTCAGACTCAGGAATCACAGCCCAGCTCTGGGCCTCGGCTGTGCTGTCATTTAGTCAGCACTGCCTGCCAGGCACCATGCTGCCACTGGGGGCTGTTGTGGTATCAAGACAAGCATGGTCCCTGCTTCATGGAGCCTTCAGGGTTACATCTAGGAGATGGGCATTTGATGAATGAATAAAACATAGCTAATACTTACAGGTGCTTGCTATGTGCTAGACACTGCAATTTCATGCCTTATTTGAAGATGAGCTGGTAGGTGGCAAAGCTAAAGCTTCAAACCACATCCATTTCTGTCTGACTCTAAAGCCCATACTGATGAAAAGAGAATGTATAAAAAATACCAAGTAAACTGTCTAGCACTTCATGAGCATCATGGGAGAATGGAACGAATCTGGGTTTGAGTCAGAGGCTAGGACTGAGTCCTGCCTCTGCCCACTCTGTGATGATGGGCTGCAGGGGTGAGGCCACATCAAGGGGGAGGAAGCCACATGAGGCAGGGCCAATAGGCTCACTGCCTTGCCCTTAGCATCGGCACAAAGAAGTTGCTACAATTCAGTTACATTGGCCTGACTTAAAGCATCCTAGGATGCTACAATGTGGATGAACCTTGAAAACATGCTAAATAAAATAAAGCAGACACAGGAGGACAAATATTCCATGATGCCACTTAGATGAGAGACCTAGAATAGTCACATACATAGAAAAAGCAAGCAGCGCAGAGATCGCTGAGGGAGAGGGAGGAGGGGAGAATGAAGAGTTATTTTTTAACAGTTGCAGAGTTTCTGTTTGGGATGATTAAACAATTCCAGGGATAGATGGTGGTGATGGTTGCACAGCATTGTGGCTGTGCTTGATGCCAGTGAATTGTTCCCTTTAAAAAATGGTTTATATTGGTAAGCTTTATGTTATATATATTTACTATAATAAAAATACTATTTTTTAGATTAAAAAAGTAAATATCCTAGGAAACCAAGCACTGTCACAAGAGCTTAGAAGATGGAGGGGACAGACCTGCAGGATGCAAATAGGGAAATCACTTCTTGATGAAATGCTGTGGCTCATTACTTACTGACACTGATTCTCAGCACTGATAATAATGTCTTCCCATATTTTGAGGCACTAAATACTCTAGGTACTTTACTGCCACCAGAATAGAAGCTATTACTTCTCTTTGGCACAGAAGAGGAGAGCTTAAGTGGTTTTCTGTCAGCTCCACACTGAGAAAGTCTGGACTTGAACTCAGGTCCCAGATGGAACCATCTCAGCAGGCGCCTCCTTGGGAAAGCACTCTCAGTCCAAGCAGACCCTGATTTGGGGGGACTAATAACTGTCATTGGAAGATGAGCTTTGATGAGATTCCAAGGTCTCCTGGACCCTGAAGACTGTGTTTAGTTTGAAAGCAGTCACAGTTAAGGTAACAGGAAAGCTGTAACCAAATCCGTAAGCTCTCTGGGCCAATCAGATCTTCTGCTAATAAGAACTCTATACAAATAAAGATGCACACCATATGAGATTTCTTTTGTGCTAAAGAGGAAGGTTAGTTTTTCACAAATGGCCTAGTCCTAAGTGGTACCTTCTCCCATACCAGAGGAGCAGGCAGGTGCATGAGATTAGGCCCTGTCTTGGGCAGCTGCTGTCCCAGATGTTTCTTGGCTCAGCTGGCCACATGGTGGAGTGCCTTGGCTGTGGAAAGTGGACTTTGCAAACTCCCACACTGGGGATGCACTGGTCTCTCCTTGTGGGGGGGTATACATGAGAGTCACCTTGTGTCAGAAAGCTGCCCTCCCTACCACCATGAGAACAGGCTGGTGGAGCTGTTAGCAGTGGGTCACAAGCAAGTCACACACAGGGAAGAAGACAGCCTTCCGTGAATGCTAGTCATAACTTTCCTTCTCGATATTACAAGAGATGCAGTGCGTTCTCTGCCAGATAAGAAAGGACCTACTCCCTGTTAGTCACAGTCTCATCAAACAAAGGTCAGCAGTTTCTGAACAAACTCGATTTTAGAGTAACCTTTTCTGTTTACTGGTTTTGTGCATTTTAGACTGTTTTAAAATGAACAAAGTCATATTTATTAGAGAAGAAGTAACTAAAGAGAAGTGCAATGGCATAGAAAAGAATTCACAACTAATCCTCCTGCTAAAGAGAGTACAGCAGACAATTTTGACATTTTTATCATAATTCTGTCATTGGTTTTTTTCTCCTGTGATTTTTATTTTGTAGGTTTTTCATTTTAGAAGTAACGTGTGGTATTACTCACAGCCCCAGCAAAAAACGAGTGATACACTTCTGTTGAGAAATTTGAAGAGAGAGTAGTAAGGTTACTGCTAATACGCAAGTGGTAGGGTGTAAGGGAACCACCTGGGGTCTAGTGACAGTGAGATGCCACCACCACCCTCAGCCTAAAGAGGAGGGTGGAGACAGTGATCCAACCCAAGTCAGAGAGAGGACTGAGTGGTGGAGGACCCCTGACAAGATGAGGGGTGATGGGACATCATGGGAAGGGAGTAAACACCTTGTCCTCCATCTTCTCTCTACCTGCCTGTGGCCCCTGAAACCAGCGAGCATGGTTGCCCACTGGCATGGTCAGCCTCCCCAGCATGGGGCAGAGTGGACAAGGGTAGAGAGCTGATCTGGAAGAGCAGACGTCCAGCCTAAACAGGAGCATGTTCCTGTGGTCTGATATTCAAACATTATGGATAATGCTACCCCTCTCTGCAAAGATGTGACTGTTGGTTTAAGTTTGGTCCATATCCTTCAGACATTTTTCTAGGCAGTTACCTATATGTATATGCTGTCATCAAATGTGCAGTTTTTTTCTGTGTATGTGTGTGTTGGGGGGTTATAAATGGTATGATGCAGTGTGTATGGTGAACCTGCTTCTTCACTCAGTCATATGTCTTGGACTCTTTCTGTGTCAGCTCATGTGGAGCTGATACCGTTTTAACCCCCTGCAAGGTGTTCCCTGGTGCGGTCCATGGGAAGGCTGTTTCCTGATACCCTACTTCTTGCTCTCCTTCTGGGGCCCTGACAGGATTGCAGTTCCTCACTGAGTTTAATAAACTCTGGTGTGCCAGTGCACTTTCCTTCAGGCAAGGACATGTAAACCAAAGTCACATGTGTCACTTCCAGGGAAGAGCTTTAAGAGCCAACAAGAACTTCTCCATCTCTCTCTTTTCCTCTGCCTTTGGGACTAGGGAAGTTTTAGACTAGTGTTTTCCAGTAAAAATGTAACACTAGCTACTCTGTAATTTGAAATGTTCTAAAAGCCACATTTTAAAAAGAACTTTAAAACAGATCAAATTAATTTTGTTAATATATGTTATTTATCCAGTACATTTAAACTGTTAGCACTTCATCATGTAATCAAGATTAAACATTATTGAGATACCTTACATTTTTCATACGATGCCTTTGAAATCCAGTGCATATTTTAACTTACATTGTATATCAGTGCCAATCAGCCACATCCCAAGGGCCCAGCAGCCCTGTCTTAGTCTCAGTGGATAGCGGCTACCATCTGGGACAGCACAGCCCCACCTGGATCTCAGGTGACACAGAGCTGAGTCCACAGCCTAAGAGTGATAGGCAGACAGTGTGAGTGAGAAATAAGCTTTTTTTTGTTTTCTTAAGGCATCGAGATTTGGATGTTCTTTGCACCCACAGTATCTCCTGGTCTATCCAGACAGACCCACGTATCCTAATTCATGCAATTATTTCCTTATGGATGCACATGCAAGTTGTTTCTGGTTTTTCCCATCATAAAAATGTGTTGATAAGCATCCTTATGTGCATTTCTGATGCTCATTTTTCTCTGGAGTAATTACCCAAGAATAAAGCCATATGTATACTTTTTATTTTAACAAATGTGTCTAAAAAGCTGTCCAGATTGGCATTACAAATTTTCACTTCTCTCAGCGATATCTGAAGGTAACTATTTTTCTGTATCCCATTTTAAAATGTTTTCCTATTTTTTGTATTTACAACTTTGATGTTACACTTGACAAAATATACAGCCTGTTCTTCTTAACATCATAAATATTTAAACTAATTAACAAATTTTTATAAACCTTGATTTTAAAGGGCAGCATGAAAACATGGTATGGATATGCCGAGTTTACCTGGCTGTTTCCTTAGTTTTTTGGCCTTTGGGTTATTTATAACTCGGATTATGTATAACACCATAATGAACATCTTTGTACATTCATTTTTTTCCACAGTGTATTTTTCCTTAGGAAAAATTCTAAAAATATAACTTTTGATTCAAAAGATCCATACATTTTAAGGTTCATGATACTTGCTAGCCATTTTTTTCCCAGAAGAATTGCATCAATTATACCCTTTTAGGGAAATTTCAGATTTTTATATAACATATATTGAGCATTTACTATGTGCAGATGCTTTCAGAAGCATGTTGTGTCTAATGCTCATGAGGGTCCTGTGAGGGTAGCAAAGGGAAAATGACCTGTCCAGGGTCATGGTGGATAAGGGGCGATGCTGACCCATGAACCCAACTCTGGAGCACACATTTAGGCTTTTTGTTTGGTTAATACTTCAGCTGTCCCCGTTACCCTACCCATTGAAAAATAGCCTTCTCCTTGATCTCTATTCCAGCCACAACTCTTGTTCCCCGATAATTAAGTAGTTAATTTCAGTCTCTGGGTAGAGAGAAGTAATATTAACAGTGG